ACGTACGTACGTCGTCTATATATATATATATATATATATATATATATATATTACATACTATGTAAAACTCAGCTGAACTTTTAAAGTAACTTTCGTTATAAAGTTCAAAGAAAATGGAGGCGTGCTAACCGTGCTAACCGTGGGTGTAATATCAAGAGCCAGTTTTCTGATTCGTCGGTAGCGTTTTCCGGGGAGCTTTGGAAGCAAAATACGGGAACACAATCTTTTTGATAATTCACACAGCATCTGCTTGCACATATGGGAAATAGCCCCCTATGTCGATAAATTCGCGTTATCCAATTTTCTCTTCAGCGTTGTCACGTCAAGGGAATGCTATCAACGCGGCGAGGAAAAAAGGGGTGGCGATTCCCAGATAAACCAATAATGTTGATATTCAGATATAGAGATAAAAAGAAAATATGTTATAATGGTGATGTTCAGAATTAATGAAATTTCCCTCAACGATTCGTTAGAATAAATTAAAAAAATGTCGATAAGGCACTAACATTCGAATATCTTGATGACGCGATCACTCGTATATGATGATTTTACGCTCCGATTATTAATTAATCAAGTGCAACGAAAAGGGCGCGTGCAAAATGTGAATTACAGATCCAATTATTGTGCTTGTGAAACGCTATACAAGCTGGCGGATAATACAATACGTGTTCCGATATGTTTCAGACGAAGGCTCATCTGGACGTATTAGCGGACGCCATACTACGATGGGCGAGAGGACGCTAATTCCTTCTTTGTTGACGATGAATCTCCAAGCTGTACATAAAACCACAAGTCTGATACGTCTACTTCTTTATATATTCATCGATATCTTTTTCTCCTACATTAATCTATTTTCCGGAAACTGTTTTCTCTCTATGTTTGGCGCATAGAGACGTTCATATTGAAATCAAACTCAGGGGAACGTTAAGATGAATCGTCTCTCTCTCTCTCTCTCTCTCTCTCTTCTTCTTCTCCTCTCTCTCTCTCTCTCTCTCTCTCTCTTCTCCTTTCTCTCCCCCTCCTCTTCTCTCTCTCTCTCTCTTCTCTCCCTCCACCCTCTCTCTCTCTTTCTCCTTTTCTCTTTCCCAGAAGAGAATACGGCCGCTCGACTTAATCTCCGAGAGGACACGGCATGGTTCTAACTACACTAAAAATCGGTTAGCAAGGTCTATCGTAAGCAAGATATCCTCACATAAAGTACAAATTAAGGTGTCCGAACTTTTAGGATGTTATAAATAAAGTTCGTAAGAGAGTTATGGCATTTTAACGCCGCTGTGTATGGCGCACGAGAGTACTCGACTTGGATATAATTTCAGTTCTATAAGCATCTATCAGCTATATACCAACACACAGATGATGTAACTTACGATTTCATATTGAGCGATTTCCGCGAGATCGTAACTAACTCTTTAACGACTTTATTTTGGTACAATAAAGTAATTTTGAAGACTGAGACCTATTTACTTCATTCCCAGAGTAAAAACACGCGGCTTTACCGTCGCGCGCCGAACCGATAGGAACGAACGATCGTATCGTTTGGCAAGAAACGGGCACGTGTACCTAGAGACTTCCTCCTAGAGTACTTCCTAAGAGATTGTAAAAGAAAATGTACTCGCGTTTTAATCAAATCACTCCGCACGACGTTGATGCGTTAAAGCGAATCGTAATAATAATAATAATAATGAGATCAACGTCGATCCGGTCTTCTGGTATCGCGTACCGTCACGAAGAGACGTCTCCTTCTCGCCTTGTGCACGCTCTATGTTGTCATATCGATATCTCTAAATATTTATTTCGAATTTAATAAAAAGATGTCCGAATAATAATAATAAAAAAAAAATAAAAAAAAAAAAGCAAAGCGAGTGCTTTCAGCAAAAGAAAGTCCTTGTGAAGATTAATTGCGCTTCACCAAACCCGCTCTGAAACTAACGAGTTAGAAAATATTAGGAATTTATTAGCAAGTCATCTTGCTGCCGTATACACTTTGCGTTCTGCGACATTTATTTACAAGCCTTTATCACACTTATTCAGAAATTCACTAATATATGTATCGATATTGCTGTGAGATTGACGAAAATGAATTTCTCCTATGTTAAACATTTGATGTCCAAGAATTATGACTTAACGGTAACATAATAATACATATATGTTCCAACTATCACAGGCAGTTTTGTACTTTCATTTTCCATACCAAAACAAATATTCATTATTCATTAAGAAAAGGATACTACAAGTATGTCCTTGTCTTTCACATATATGTAGAAAGAAAAGAAAAGTACGTATATGTGTATATGCGTGTATGTATGAGTGTGTGTATGCGCGTGTATATGCATATGTGCGATGACAACTATTACAAAACATTTGTGAAAGTATAACACCCATTTCCAGGTTTTCCTATCTTTCCACAAAATATATAAATTATAAAGTAAATAGACATAACTTGCCTCTCTGGGCAGACTTACAACTTTTATCTTAATAATAAATCTTTTTATGTATGGAAAAGCGCGCGTATCACAACTATATTTTTTGCAAGAAATATGGTCAATGTATTGTGCCGCGCGCTTTATACCATCAACTTATGTATATATTATAGTGTATCTATGATCGTTATCTATTACAAATTTGAGACATACCAAGTATTAGATTGCGAATTTGGGTTAATTAGCATCGTATTCATAGAATCTAAATGCTTTACGAAAGGTTGATCGCTCAGCTTACGTATTGCAAAATCGTTAAAGTGCAGACCATCTGTTTGCAACGGTATTACTTGCGTCGCAATATCTTGTGAAAATGCTTTTGCTTGAGTATTTGGATTCATTACCGCTACAACTCCTAACGGGACACTTTCCGCAATCCTAATATTTTTGTCATTTATATACACGGGTATTCTTTGGATATCTGTACCGCTTTTCGCAGCAAAGTATTTTATAGGTTGAGTGACATTTTGCAATAACACTGCATGATGTTGATTGTCGATCGCTTTCGAATACATGTATACATCATTCTTCTGTTTCAGTGATGGTGGTAAGTTTTGCATTGTGTTGGATGAATTAACGCAATTATCTGTACTATTATTATAGCCTCTCGTGTCACGTAAGTCTTTAGATTCTGCAGCTTTTTTATGGAGATAATGCATTTGCTCTTTATGTGGATAATTGGTAGAATAAATAAGTTGTTCGTTGCAACGACACGCATTCTGACTAATTAGATGCTTGGTACATTCTATATCTGTATTATCAAACGTTTCTCGGAATAATTCTCTAGATCTTCTTTCATTTTGAATATTATGAGGAAATTTTGACGTCGATATTATCTTATCATTACCATCCTTAAAAAGAATATTGTGGTTCTGATCGCATGTACTTTTTCCACAAAATTTTTGCTTGTTGATTTCACAAATATGTGAGTTACTTTGTTGAGGAAACTTTTTTGCCGATTCTACATTAGAATTAGAAAAATTTTGTAAATAGTGAATCGGACTATTATTCAAATAGAAAGGTTTTCTGGTGTCATGTAATATTTGTTTTTGAGGTAATTTTTCAGTGTATGCACTTGTATTATAAGAAGTTTTAAAAGTTTGCGAGTACATAGAATCATCATGTCGACAAAATTCTTTCTTTCCATTATGTTTCGTGGAACATATATTTATATCACGTTGTTTGATTTCAGGTTCTTGTGAATCCTCTATTTTCATCGATCCAATCTGAGGCTCCAATATTTTCGTTTGCTCAAACAACATGTTTCTTGTATCGGATGACGGAATATTTTTCAATACATTTGGAAATTCAGTTTTATATAATTTCTTTTCAGTATTATTATTTGAAATTTCAAAAAGGTTAAATTCACGTTTATTATATAAATCTTCTATATAATCATTGTTTACCACAGAATTATTAGGCTTATTAATAGCAGCATTGTTATATCGACGTAAGATGGTAGGTACTCGTTTAACATTCTTCATATTACACTTACTTGTTTTGTTATTATAGTTTGGAGATATATCATTTGTTGCACAATTGTCGGAAACAGATAATTTTGCAACTGATAATTTTTCACGGAGACTATGTTTTAAAAAATGTCTGTCTAATAATATAGGATCATTTATAAACGAGGTTCCTAAGCGTTTCGTGTTATTATTATATCGTAAATTTTTATAAATAGGAATGTCAATAGAAAAATTATCTTTGTCATGATGCTTATTTTTTGGATGATTACTATAATTAGAAGTTTTATGAGAATCAAACTGAATGGTATTTTTTCATTCATGAAATAAAAATTCATTGGTTTCGTGACTCGATCGATATTTGTTGATCGTTTTGCACATCGAATATCATTATCTTCGGAATTTTTTATAACGTTATCATTTATATTGTATGTTGAAGTATTTTGCGATGAACTAGGTGTAAAATTATAATGCGTTATGTCATCACTTTGTTTAAATTCGGTATTATGTATTAGATGAAATTTATCATTCTTCCGAAATAAGCCTTGTTGAAGACGAGTTGTGATTGAATTTTCACACTTAGGAACTTCAAATTCGACAGGAGAGAACTGCGAAAGATTTGAAGATACACAAGCTTGATATTTTCTAGAGTCTGCAGGTTCTACATTTTCCAATCCTTGTTTATCTTTCTCACGTAAAAGTTGTTGACGAAAAGAATTAGCATAGGCATTTCTTAATCTTTTAATTGTTGTTTCAACAGGATCTAAAATTATCAAATTATTCAAAAGATAAATAATCAGATTTGAATGATTTATATATATATTTATATATATACATATTAAACATAATATACCTGAATGATAATCTTGTAAGATGTCTACTTCAAAATTTTCGGCAGAAATTATTCTGCAGAACTCCATGTAGCGATTTAATGGAACATGGAAATTTTTACTATTCTTTGAACATGTCTGTTTTGTTTCTTCTTCATTCAATTCATTTTCTTTTGTTAGATCAATTGTATCAAGTATTCTGAAATATTTTATAGTTTCATTTTATATTAAATTCTTTTTTATTACACTTAATAATGTAAATATAATTTATACTTACTCTGTCGAGGAAATTTTTGATTGCTCTCTATCATTTTGAAACAATCTTCGCTTGCATATGTCTTCTCTTTGAACACATCTTAATTCATCATTAGTATTGTGTTTTTTAATTTTGTTAGAATCATCATTTCAAGATGTTTTCCTCTACCTTTCTTTTTAACTAAGACACAGCTTCTGAATTGAACTGTAATATCAATGTGTATATATATATATATATATATATATATATATATATATATATATATATAAAATGTATAAAATATTTATATAAACTTTTTTTATGTGCATGTTTAAAAGATATATCTTGTATAGAATATCTATATCTTTAATCGAAGTTCCTAAAACAATAGATATATACCTTCTTTTTCCTATTATAGGGCTTTGCTCTAGAATACATGGTGTCAATTCCAAAATATCCTTCTCATAATCCTTATTTAATAATTGTTTAGTAGTTTTATCATGTATTGAAACATCAACAATATTCCTGTAAAATAGAATATATTGTCATGCTTGTCCACTTGCGATATCCATATCAAATCTATTGTATCAATGTGCTTACTTAGATTCAGGACTGTCACCATTAAAGAGTTTCAATGCATCTGCCTTCAACCGGGCTTCATGGAATATATTTTCTGATGTCTTTGCTGTAAGACATTAAGATAATTAAAATTGTACTTCATTATATTATCACAACTAAATCAATTTCAAAATATACCTTTCTGAACATTTCTACCTTTTGCACCATTCCTATATATACCGACAGCCTGAAATAATCATGTGATAAATATGTCTAAATGTGATAAACAATAGTATCATTATAATATCTAGATTATTAAATAAAGTTACTCACAGGTTCTGGCAGAAGCCTCTCACAAATTTTCCGGCTTTGTTTCTTATGCTTAGCTTTATTGTCGTTCTTCCCAACATCATCCTGTAATAAATTCCAGTATATATTTCAATCATCTCAAAGAAATTATCATCAAAAATATTTCATGTGTGCGAATTATACATTGTTCACGCAATCCCCTATCTAAAACTTTTATTCAAGAACTCCTAGTTTCTAAAATCACTCTCCCCTTCGAAGAGGAATTCCACCGATTACATTTGCAAGATTATTACTTGAGCATTTTCGGCCGGATTTCCACGACAGCTAAACGCTTATTGATGATCTCGATCGAACTGTGCAAATCGAGAGATTATCACTCACGAGAACCGGCAGCAAACAATGCCAGTAAACACTTGACACTGACACTAACCTAACATCGTGAGAGCTACGACGCCTCCATGCTACGACGCACCAACGCGCCGCTTTTTGAAACAGCAATCACGTGGATAATCGCACGAATATCCATGTTTTCTATCTCCAATAGATCGAGAATTATAAAACGTCATACGATAATCACTACTCAGAGAGATTCTACTAGCGATCAGAAATAATAACATCTGAGTGTACCCAGATATCATTTTATTCTTGTTAACATTCGATGAAAAAACAAGGATAAAGCAATATATCCGGTGTTTCTGACCAAGTCCTATATAAATTCTCTCGTGCATGGGGAAAAATCCAGGATTTTTTTCGAGGAAAAGAAGAGGATTATCAGATTTTATTAAGAACGATTTTCCCTATTAATGAATTACTTTTCTAGATTTTAAAGCTTAGATCTGATCTCCTCGTTCCTTCGATCTTGAATGAGAGAAATATTGAATTTTGCAAATCATAACTTTAACTTTACTTCAACTTCTTTTTTTAATTTTCGGGAGAGGATACGCGCTCATGCGCTCGAATATCCTCACGTTCGTCCTTGAGCGACGCGTCACGTCGCGTCGAGCGAGAATATCATTCAGGAAGAAAGTCGAGGACGCGGCCGCGAGAGACCTACCAACTTCCGCTTAGCCTGCAGGATCTTAGAGTGTATCCGGTTGACGTCCCTCTTCCGTCGCTTCCGTCGCGGCTTCGGCGTCTCCTTCCGATCGGTGGACTTCCGCGTTATCTTGCCCATGACCTTGCGCGGGCACACCTCGGCAATCACGTATGCTACATGCGCATTGTCAAAATCGCTCTCGCGACGAACGCGAATGCCGGTGCGGGTGTACGAAGCGAAACACCGCGCGCCAATCAGCGTCGGAACTGCGACTGATGACTGCCTTCACGTATGTTTATTTACTCTCGCTTTCACGCAGCAAGTTCGTAGTTCGTTCGAAATTACGGGAAGGGATTCTTTTTTTTTTTCTTCTCCTTCTCCCCCTTTTCCGTCCATGGCGTCATGAGGGGGCGCGGGAGGAGAGGAATAACTTATAATTCCAGCGCGAGGAGTCGTTCGAAAGGTTCGCGACGCGGATGATGACAATTAAATCAGAGGCATGTGACTTGAGCTTGAATGAATCGATTAAAATTGACTTGGATGCAAAATGGACAGATAGCTTCCGATTGAAAATTCGGAAGTTCGTGGTTCGTAGTAAAACGAGAGATCGTTTCTAGATTTTAGAAATTAATTAGAAATTGTGTTTAATTAGGAGTGAAAATTTACGAGATTTGTAAAATACGCAGAATGCAATCTACATGTTCGATGAATGTACTTTTATTGTAATAGTATAGTTTAACCTTGTTTCTTGTTTTATCTTATTTTACTCGATAAGATAATTGTCTAAGGTTAGTTAAATATTCTCTTGTATCTATTGATCTAATGATCTATGTCTTGTTAAGACACATGAAAGATTTTATGCAAATATGTAATAGCGCTTTATTATTTGTACATTTTATAATTTTAAATTCTAGAATGCTATTACGAGGAAAAGAGTACATGATATAAAGATGTTAAAAATCTGAGACACAAATGTACCTTATCTTATATATATGTATAAATATTATTTATACATTAAATTATTATTTATTATAAATAAATTTATTATTTATTATAAATAATAATATAATTTAAATAATTAAATAAATTATATTTAAATTAAATATGTTTATATATTTATTAATTTAAATATTAAATTAGATGCATTTCTAAAACATAATTGCAATTAATTATAAAATAGTAATTTCGATGGTTCATTTCTATGATTTTACATTCCTTTATTTAAGAGAAAGGAACTGATATTACATTATGAATTATAAGAGAATAATATGTACTTTTGTAGCTTTATATATATATATATATTTATGAAGAAATTATTCAATTAATAACAAATTAATGTACTTTAAAACATTTCTCAATCTCAGAACATTTCATTTATAAAATCGACTATGTTAAATAATTATAATTATTATATATGAATTTATTTTTTGCATTTTTTTGTAATAGTTAAGATTCATGTATTAATTTGGAGCGAAAAGATTTATCATTTGTTTTCAAATAATTACGATGTCTAATCCTTAATATATGACGTTGATTTCGCGATGATCTAAATTTTCCTCTGTCTCTTGTCTTGATAATGACTGATGATAAGATAAAGTGATAAAGTATTTAAAAATAAATTCCATAAATTCAGAAAATACATCCAATAAATTATGAAAAGAAAATATAATTTTATAATACACATTCACGTACATTGTGGACATTAAAAATTAAATATTATTTTATGGCAAAAAAAGATTTGCGTTGAAAATGTTCATACTTTTATATTAAACTTATTGATCTATTTAATTGTAGATATATTAATACTGCACGATGGGTAAATTAACTTAATTGGCTGAGTAAATTGGGGTTAAACTATTTGAACGTGAATAAGTCGCAGAGGCAAATATGCGGAAAAAAATGTACTGTATGAATAAATGTATAACATAATTATTAAAGAATGCGCAATATTAACTATTAATAATATTGTTCTCATATCAATAATTTTATTGCTCATATTTATGAAATAGCGAGAAACAATGCACGCGTAACGCACTCACGTAATAATAAAAAATCCATATGTTTCGTTAAAAAATGCAGGACGATTGATTAAATGAAAGATTAATTAAAAAGTTATATTTTATAGAATTAATTTTTTATATCTTACTGTTAATCAAAGTAGAGGTAGGCGTCACTGTCACGTTAAAATTCCAGGCGAAACATAGGGGTGCGGATGACGAACGTAGTATAAATGTAAATGAAAAATGTAACCGTTTAATTCTGGTCGCAAAAAAAAGATCATTATTTTTATGCATCTATGATTGTTTCGTGAAATTGGGCTCTCGCTGAAAACAACCGTAGCGAGAATTAATGAATTGCAAATAACATTGTATTCCGCATTGTGACGTTCGCTCGACTGATCAAAAACGCGGAATCTAAAATTCCGTTTCGATTTCAATATCTAATCGCGCATTAAAGCACGTGTTTTTACGTATGTTAAGCTCCTCGATAACACACATTCGAAGATCCATTAGGTCGGACAGCTGTAATCGCTCGATGTTTCGTCGTGTGAATCACGTATTAGGTCGGCGCTTTGTTCGAATCCGCGTCAGAGCTTTGGCGCGGAGAAAGCGACGTGTGTGATATGACTCAGATCTTTGTCGATCGTCGATCTACTGAAGTTCAAGTTACGTTCTGATAATTTATCCATCACGTGCGCGGTGAATGGCTCAGAAGTGTCCATACGGACAGCGGAGCCTCGTCGTCGCGTGCAACCGTCTAATAGAAGCGAATGAGAAACGCGCCACGCTTGCGAGACGCGGCGCTTTTGAAAAAGCGTCTAAAAGTGCGCGATACGCATTTGCCCGCGACCAGTTTGACGCGGAGGAGACACGATTGTATCTCGCGCGCAGCGCGGTTTGTTGACCCAGCTTTCACAATGAGGCAGATAAGGGAGACGGCGGAAAAAGCGAGTCCCGCTGCCGAGGACGGCGGGCCTCGACTCTCTCGACGTCGTCGTACGCCGCCTACATCATCCGTCGCCTCCTACTTCTGCTCACCCCTGCGGCCACGGGCTCTTCTGCCGGTCATGTGATTAAGCACGGCTGGCGAGAAGTTTCCGAGTATTTGAGCGCTTGCGACACGCGGATGTAGAACAAAGTGACAACGAAGCGGCGGCCTCGTCTCTCTCTCTCTCTCTCTCTCTCTCTTCCGCGAGCGCGCGCGCACGCGGATTCTTCTCTGTGAATTTTTCTCTCGTTTTTTGACGCGGAGCGGTGAGAGATTGCGATCGAGTGTCCATGTCGCGATACGGCGCCACCATGGGCTTTGGAAGGTGAGTATTCTCCGTGGAAGCCGTTCGAACCTTTGTGCCTCTGTGTGAGCTCTCATTAAAATGAGCTTTCATTCGGCCGCTCGTTGGACTTGGGATTTGTCCAAGATTATTTCTTTTTTCCAGAGATGTGTTTAATTAGAATAAAAATATATAAAATTTAAGCTCTTTATAAAATTTCTCTATAAAATAGAGATCTTTTTTATTTAATTTATTTAATAATACAATTTAGATATTCGATTAACCTTCTTACGTTTTTGCGGAACTGTTGGACTTGGGATATTTCGTACTTTTAAAAATTGAACCTGATTGAGCTTTGATTTTTTCCTGATTTGATAAACTAATTGCTTTTATAAAAATGATAAGCGTGATATCTCCCTCGGTATTTCTATCAAAATCATAATTTTATTATTGTAATCAAGTAAAATGTTTCAGTTTGAAAAGCGAAGAAGCTTATCAAATACATATTAATTTTATTTTTTTATCTTTATATTTTATAATTCTGGAGTCTTGAATGTTATTTTGTAAACAATTTATAAGACGTAAAATATTTAGATTATGCGATTTAATAATTTGTTTATTACCCATTCTAGCATCAATACAGAATTATTTTAATCACGATTTAATTTACTTTTTATTTTTTCCTAATTTCTAGAACTTAAAAAAGAAATAAAAGGTTGAACCGAGATTTAATCTTCATTAATAGAAATAAACATATATTACATTAAATTCAAATATATATATATAATTTTCAAATATATATATATATATAATTTTCAAAGTAATATTAGGCGGAGAAAATCTTCTCCGATTTCGACCGATTTCTAAATTTAACGTATTTAACGGGATTGTAACTTTATGTGATGATATGAACAGATGCGAAACAGAGTGTTGCTGAGTAAAAATATCAAAGGGGGCCATCGAACTGTGTGTGCCGAAACGTAAACGATAAACATATTATTATATCGACCAATTGCGCGCCAATTATTACGTCGTTTTTCTGGCGTAATTTTACAAAGTTAAAAATATCAAATTAATTTTGCCATAAATAAAGAATATTCTTCGTTAAGCACGCTTATAACATTGCATTATTATAATATAAAGAGACGACGATCATAAATTTAAAATTCATCCTCCTTGTGCGTATGAAGCTATTAATAATCTTATTTCTTATCAATATATTCATACTCGTTATATACAGTTATCAACGTTGATGTATGTTAGTTTTGCATTAAATGCGAGTTAAATATTCAAGCGCGAAGAGTAAGTACTGAACCAAGTTCAGAATTGAGTTGTGAAGCCGTTAAGATGATGCTTGGTCAACAATTGCATGTATTGGTGTAGTATTATACGTGTGTATATACAAGCGTGAGATATTGATGTATAAAATCTTCTTTCCTTGGAAATTTTTAAGAAATTTTGTATATTTCTATTCTTTCAACAAGAATATCGAAATATTATTAATGTCTCTTGCATTAAAAATAATTAAAAATTAACTATTTTTCAAAATAAAACTTAACAAATAATAAATAAGACAGACAACACGGACTTAATTTTTTTATATGACTTCAAGTCGATTATTTCATCAAATTTACAGTAGTTGAGAAATATTTGTGAAGGTTTGGAAATAAAAAATTCACAACACACGATCTCTTTCGAAACTTTTGTCGAAGGAGAGAAACTGAATTTCATGAAATGTATAAAATTTGAGCCAATGCTAAATTATTTATTATTTCTTCTTGCGGTGGTACAAGTACGTGGTATTTTCGCGTTTAGCATTCGAACATTGTTTTCGTCTTTTCATTAAGTCCGTCACGTACACGTTTCCTTCGCAGTTCATTGCCACGATACGTACATCCATAGCGACCAAGGTTCGGTAACCATCAAGTTTCGCATGATAAATGCTAATATCGATTCGTACAAGATTGAGGTCATAAAGTTTTATTTTATTCTGCTCTCGTGGTGTTTTCATTGCCGACATGCGCATTGCAATATTGTTGAAAAGAATGTTCATAATTGTGGATGAATTCCATTGTTCCTCAGAAAATAGATAATTCAGACATTGTACGGTCGGAAGTAGGATTTTCTGTTAATCTTTTTAATTTTTTATTTTATTAAATAAATTCAAGAAAACATTTTGGATCTTCTTGGTAAGTACGCGTCGTTTATTTGCGGTTTTTGAAATAATATAACAATTGAAAGCTATATATGTTTCTCTATTACTAATTCGATAATATTAATTAAAATTCTCACAAGAAATTTTTACAAAGACCAACAATGTTGTGTAGAATTTATTGAATAAATTTAAAAATGAAAAAGATTAAAATGTCGTTGAAAATACCCGATTGTAAGTAATGCCTCAATTATCTTTTCAATATATACTTTCTTCATATATTCAAGCATGATGTATGAAATAATTTAAATGACGAAAATAGTTTACGTAATCTAGCTTCATTCACGTTTTTTTTTATTATTTCAAAATTCGCGGCTAATTTTTGTTGTATAACACGTTATCATAATGACAAGATCATTAATCAATGATATCATTTGATATATAATTAAATGGATTGGTAAAACTTGTCTGCGATAAGGATTAATCTTATCGCCTCGAAGAGAAAAGAGAATCATGCAGACTAAAGTAGGTATCTTGTAAAGAAATGGTCTTTTCAGCGCTGCTCATAAATCCTTCTTAAGCATGTCCCTTACATAATAAAGTCTTTTTAATTTTTTCTTGTTTTTAAGTACGTGTCACAGTAATATTTCCGCAAGCGTTTTCGCAAAGTGCGGTACAATATGAGATGAGTCCATCAGCAAAACGTCATCTTGTTTGTCACCGGATAATCAACGTATCGGATAGTCGATCACTTTTACCCAATATCACGTACAACTATTTTGTCATTTTATTTTATTAAATAAGTTTATTTTATTAAATAAACAAGAATCTGCAAATACTAGAAAATAGACTCACGAGTCACCATGATTAAATACGATTTATTTCGATTCATAGCAGGCTTCACGTATGAGTAGTTACTTTACCATTTTACATAAAAAATTTTATTTTATTTTAGAATCTTAATAAAGTAACATAAAAGAAATACATAACATAAACGAAAATATAAATACAAATGAAATTGTTTATAAGACAATAGTATGAATTTTATGTGCAATCCATTTTCGCACCGGCGATGACAGTTTAACTTCAAATCAGATTAATAACTCTGACATAAATATCAGTATAATTAAAATGACAATTATTAATAAGAAAGTAATGATATCTTTGCGATTTCAATTAAATGCCACATTAAATATTGATAAAATTTAACAGTACGATTACAACAATACGATTACATTATATATATATATAAAATGTATAGTTATCCCATCTCGATTTGGCTCTAGTTAAAGTTTATTCATGTACCTTAGTACATCATTAAATCTTAATTCTATATTTCATTATAACTACATTAATTACTAATATTATCATTAATAAAGTTATTAACACATGCATGTGCGCGATAAATGAGGAATGCAGAATATTTTTACATTTTATATATAATTTAACAACCATATACTCTCTTGCTATTTACAGTCTTGCTATTTACTATTTTCAATAATCTAATATCACTGAAATAGTCTACCAATAATCGATTACTTCCAGTGAAAATGTAATGCTAATGTTTTTAATTATTGTTATACTTTTTATTACTTTTTATTAACACATTAATATATAAAATAGTATATAATTTAATTTAATAGATAATTATTAATCTTTTGTAATTTTTCGTTATCTAAATCATATCTGTAGAATATGACATCAAGTTAATTAAAATTACGGGAGATAATTATTAGTATATATAATATAGTATTTATAATAAAAATGTACATATGATAACGTATCAAAAGCAAGAAAATAAATATTTTTTCTTCGAAATGTGATGTCTGGGATTATATCTTAATAAAAATCATATTTTTATATGTTATGTGGACGTGTCTCTCTTCAAGTGTATTGAATACGCTTGTGTACAAAATCTCTTGTAAAAATCTATCACACATATGAAATATCACTGCTGGACGAATTGAGAACAATTATCAAATGTACATAACGATAAAATAACATTATCTAAATAGGATACGAGCTGTTGTCAACACACATAAATTATTTTGTTCATTTTGTGTATTTGATATATGTTTTCTGCAGATTCAATTTAACTTAATTAACAAATTAGGAGAAATAAATACGTAGAAATTCTCGTGTAAAGTTAGTCTCGTTCAGTTGTCAAAATAACGTTATTAAGAGATACGGCAAGTGTTCAGGAATTAATTGACAAATATCGTGAAACGCCACGGATTATATTTGTGTTGACATTTTTTAAATTCGCTTTCACGCGATATAATAAAATCGCAACTCATACATATGTACGAGAGAGGCGATGCAAGACGGAACCAGCTAGTTAAAACCAGTTAGATATATGATATTTCTTCAGAACCTTTCAATATACTGGGTAACATCGAAAGTATCCTCTTCATGACTTTTAGAAATTAATGGACCTTCATTTCACATTAATTACAGATATTGAATACGAGACACATTATACAGCGCGTGTATCAAAAGTTCTCTGTCGCAATTGACTGCAATATAAATTATCGAATATAAGAGTATTTTGCTTATATAGAAATACATATTAAATTGCTGCCACAGTATTGTGCAACAGTATTGTCGATTATCTGCGATGAAGTCACGGTTGTAATAACCGCTTTCAGTATTTACGAAATACGCACTGTTAATGCATTATAATTTACGTTGTTCGGATCGTGCTTTGGACGAGAAAAAAAACATATGCATTAAATTGGAGCAATGGTTTTGGATATTTCTTTAGCAAGCGAATATCCGCCATTTTCGGAAATATAAATTTTCGGCACGTACAAATCTTTTGAAAAATTGACATTGTTGTACTCGGAATTGCTTTCTCAAACGATAATATTTTTATATTTATATATTTATATATTTACATATTTATATATTTATATTTATATATTTATCTATTTATGATAATATTATGTATACTGTGAGTGCTGTCGGATTTTGTGCTCAGTTCGCTTATAATTGCATACTTCAAGGATGTTTCTTCGAAGAAGTACCTTCAACCGGATGTAGGGATCACCTGTTCAATCGAATGCCGACAACCGTCAATGGCCCGCGCTCGTTTCTTCACAACTTTAAGATGAATCGTTATTCCCCCACCGATTGTTTAGCCATTCCCCACTCGTTCAAACATCGTGTGACCATTGCGGAATACGTTTACCTTCAAAGAGACAGTACTTGCTGTCTTTGCGAGACGGAAGCAGGCAGGTGCGCGTAAGGTCCATCGGATGTCCGGCGGCGGTGGCGGCGGCGGCGACGACGACGACGACGACGACGACGACGACGACGACGTTGGCGATAATGGTAGCGGCGGCAATTCATTAATTCGCTTATCAACGATCGTCCGTGTAGACGAGCAAAAAGTGTACCATGCAGCTCGTGTCTCGCACGCGTGGAGACGGGTTTTACAACGTTTAGAAGGCCGAACGCCCGTGCTCGTGACGGACGTCGTGCTTGAGCGCTCCGTTTTAAGGTAATAGAATATGTAGATACGGCCCGGACAAGGATAACGCGCGCGGAAAACGTTCTCTCGCTCCCGGGCCGCGATAAAAGCGGGAATCGTAAACGTCAGCTCCGTAAGTCCTTTTTCGAAGCGCGAGTGTGACGTACGATATGCGGAAAGAGGAAAGAAAAAAAGTATAGTTACGTGGACGTGGACGTAATCTAGCAATAATTATCACCGTTATCGAAATAGAATAGATAAAGTATGTATTTTGTGCGTGAATGCCATCGAATTCCGGTATTAATGTAATTGTTGTGTTGACTGCGTATAGAAAATTGACATTTAAAAATATCGAAACGAGAGACAGGGTTAAGAAGAAAATATAAACATCTTTTGATAATTTTGTGATAATAATTATGTTTATTGATATTCTTGCAATGAGTAAAATGTTTTCAGAAAATAATACGAATAGTAGGTTTAATTGCAAATGAGAAATATGATAAAAATGATAATTTTATAATCAGCTCCTTTTTTTAGATTACGCGCATATTCCGTTTCAAAAATTAATTCGCATTATAATGGATTTAATTTTGAAAATACTGTGGATTATTAGTGTAAGAAGGCTGAAATTTGAAATTATATGTAATTTCAACATTTATAATAATTATTATATGTATAATTATATAATTAATTTATTAATTATATAATTGTCATCTATCTGATCTGATTGTCATCTATATGATATCATCTGCTAACAAGATAATCAATATCTGTGAACAGACATTGCTTTTGCCCCGTATTCAAGTCGAATATTTGCATCTCCTGATATTTAGAATTTATGAGTCTATTTTTTACAGCTGAACTAGTGCACCTTTGTTGTATTTAAAATTAAATAGCTATATGCTCGAAGTTTGGCAAAAACGAGAAAGAAATTTTAGTGCGGTCTAGTCCGGCAATAAGAAGCGGGCCTCGTCGGAATCGCTCGGCTATTACGCGCTGGAGATTCCCCGAAATTAAAAAAAGAGAATAAAGAGAAAAAAAATCGTGTCGGTTTCAGCAGTTCATTGTTGTGCCTCATTCGTCGCGATGTGAATTCTAAAGGCGGAATAAACTTCCGACGTCCTCGAGATTAACTTGGACCATTTGGTTCGCGGAAACTTTCTCGCGAGTCATCGCGCGCGAGTAATGATCGAAATATCAAGACACGCTCCATTAATTTATTAACATTGTCGAGTTTCTCGTAAACCTCGTTTTCGCGGAGACAATGCCTGTCGCGCGTAAATCGCGAGAATGGATAAACTTCGCGAAGACTTTCGCGAGACAGCGGCGTGCGTTTAATGCCGACATCAGGGCGGTATCGTAAAACCGAATACGCGCCGGCAGTTACTCCCTTTGCGCATTTCACCGCTCGACATGGTTAAAACAATATAAATATCTCGTGACGCAATGGGATAAACTGCGCAATTGTTTCGTGCACAGCGATCTGGCACAATTGGAAGATTACTTTATCTAGTTTCGGCGTGCCGATTTTCTTTTCGGCTTTCCTCCTCCCCAGTCTCTCTCTCTCTCTCTCTCTCTCTCTCTCTCTCTCTCTTCCTTCCTTCTCCTCTGATACTTTTTATGGGGAAAAGCTTTCTGTAGACGCCTCCGCGCGGCAAACTGATCCCGTTTCTTTATGTAATGCCCGCCCAAGTCCGACGCGCGCGACTGACATCATTTTTCATTCGCGATGTTCCCGGGAAACTTGAAACATAAAGCGCCAGGTTGAACTTTCGATCGGCTGCCACGGCGGCGATTCCTGGCAAGTGGTATATATTCCGAATATGATTGCAGCTTACGAGACGTAAAAGACGATAGCATGCGGCTGTGCTGCTCGAAGAAGGCCGAGACTGACCCGCTGCAGTCGGGACTCGAAAATGGTACGGATGATCTATATTTACATATAGATATAGTCGTAAACTGGAAATGCAATTTCTGAAAGAGGAGAAGAATAATTCATCAGAATAATTTATAACGTAAACCGAGAAAAATTTCACGCGATAAAATTGCGCGTAGTAAGATGCGTACAAAAGAACCTAAAAAGATTTTAAATACTTACTCTTTTCTCAATTATAACGATTAAAGAAAGAAATCAAGATGAAGTGAAAACGAGTTCACTCTGTGTGCTTGGTATATTATTTTAAATATCTATATCAGTATATTATTAAGATATTCTATTTTTCATTGTTTAAATTTCGATGACATTTGCGCGAGCTTGTGATAAATGTTGCCTGGTTCTATCTTGCATAACACAGGCAAATTGTTCGAAGTCTTGTGCACACAGCCTGCTGTTTGAAGAGACGATTAAGGTGGGCTTATATTTCCAACCGAATTATTCTTCCAGTTAGCGTTGTTTAAGTATCACTGCTTAGCAGTAGTATTAAATTACTAAGTATTCACGTACATGCACATACGACGAACGTCAGCTTGTTAAAGAGATGTTGGAGATTATGCCATTATTGTGTGTGGACTCTAGATACCCGATTATTCAATATTACGTAACTTACTGTTTCCTAGATACTTGAATATGCAATTACTTATGTTATATGTAATAAGGAATAATGAAAATTGACTGTGATTGCGGAATGTCTTGTCCCGAAGGAGGAATAAGCTTTTAATAATTTTACATGATAAATTGATATATTTTTGGATTAATTGCATATTCTAAAATAATGTAATTTAATGATGTAATGAGATTTTTTCTTATTTTATATATTTTATATACTTTTTATATATTTTATATAAAATATAATTATATATATTATATATATATATATGTTTTTCTATTTTTGTAT